GAAATCACCGTGACCTCACATAGATGAGTGTAAATGGTGCACCTCTCCTGAATATAATGGGTGGATGTCTACTCACATGTAATTAGAGCTACAGGAAAAAGCTGCTAGTAGATTATAGCATGACATATAAAAAGACTAACTGTAAGTACAGTTAGAAAGAACATTATTCTTCATTCATTCTTACTTAATGAACCAAATAAAGGAGAATTTTTTTGGGACAAAATTATTTAAAACTAATGTACATGCAGGAAAGTCCCGAGGTTTGGTGGTATCTGTAGAGATTAGTGGAAAAATATTAATTATTTTTGATAAATAAAAGCATCTCCTGAGTGCATTTTGTTTTTCTCACTTTTCTTCTTCCTTCTGCTCTTATCTCAAGAGTCCAAGTCCCAACTGCATAGATGAATGCAAACTCTCCCATGTATGTCCCAGGGTGTCAAAAGATATGATGGATTACAACAATCAAACAATATTTCATGAGTCCCAGCTGGCTGTGAGGCAAGCCATTTAAATTTGTAGGAGAATAGCTCCCGCTGCCTATTTTTGGCCTCTCTGTCTTCACATTTTTCCCACCGATGAGTCACATTCTGTTCCAAACCTGCTGTGGCGCCGAGATATCAAGACATACCAAGAGCTGCTGATTAATATCTTGGGTGACAGTTCGCCTCCTTCCCAATAATGTTTATAATAAAACTGGAATTAATCCTGGGCTTCGCTTGCTTCTTCTCAGTCCTCATTGAAGGATGTCTTCAGGTTTCTGTTAATGTTTCATAACACAGAACAGATTCTGAGATAAACGTATCAAGACAGCTGAAACCTGGATTTTTACACTTTGGGTTGATAATCATAAATCTCCCACTATTATCCCCCCAAAAGTATGTATTTTGTGTCAAAAATAAATAATTCTTGCATGTCATCTCATTCATGACACAATAAACAAAAACAGATGCTATAAACACAAACGTCAGACTTCTGAAAAGTAGGAACTCATCTATGCAGTCGTATTCGGGCCTCTGGCTTGACTGACTGCATCAATGCGATGTTGCACTGAGCCAATCAGCCTGTGGCCCCAGGAGTTTTCATTAATTATCCTTTTCATAGTATTCTAATTTAAGTCGGATAAATGCGACAAGGCAGGTCTGACTGGAAACGTTTTGAAAACTATCAAATATGTATATGATTTAGCATTTCTGATCAGAAGATTGTCTGATTGTTAGAAATGAGAATCACATACTCTGACTGTAATAAATGATCACATGTTGCCACCTTGTCACCAAACTGGACAATATGAAGCAAACTTAGCTGTATAGCTTACCTGCAGCGCCATTCCTACGATGTATTAATGTGAAAGTTAAAATAACCTGGTAACAGACTGATGAGAAGAAATTAAAAAAAGGATTTAGAAATGGGAAGAAGAATGGGAAAGTTCAAAAGTATGACATCTACTAAATAAATTTGATTTCTTGTCTTGATGGTTTGTAGAATAAACCTCTTTTCTTCTTTTCTTCCTTTTTTTCTTTTTTTATAGTCAGTGAACTACTGAAAGCCATGTATTTAAATAGAAGTGACAAATTGTCACCTCCACTTTTCTTCAGGAGAGTGAGTCACTTGTCACTCCAGAAGTGGATTTTGAAACGCTGCTCTGGTGAAATAACTAGCAATTCTGACAAACTAAAAGTTTTGAAGTGGCAACAGATTTTCCATTATACAATTCAGACTGACTCTGTTTGTTAAAATAACCGTTTTGCTATAACTGAATCTTGTCTAAGTGTCCATTACCGACAAGGACTCAGGTTTCATTGCCTTTAGTCATTGAGTTAGTTAAAATAACATAAAATGCAAAAAAAAATAAGCTTAGAATAAGTGTATAAAGAAAATATAAAAAGTTATGCACAGTGACTTTAAAGAACCGTCTATGATCAGGTTAAATCAAGGCGAAAAAATTCTATGCTCTGAGTGCCCAACAGCAGTCAAAAATTGTCAGCTAACTTAATTAGAAGGTAGGTCAGGATACCATCAGTTGGAGCTGCTCCAATTATTCAACTTGCTAGAAAATCATTAACAGTCATCCATCTTATGTTAAGCAGATGTAGCATCTTATTGCATAGCATAAGATGAGGTGAAAATATTAGATATGGACATAGATGGAATAGAAAATATTGGGTCATTGGTTTCCCTCACAGTGTAAGATCTAATTGTGTGTGCTACATTGTAGCCTGGTACAAATCAGGTCTTTGTTCTTCGCCTTGTTTTGTTCAGGGGTTCTGGACTCTTGGCTGCTGAGAAACGATTACCTCCTGAAGGTTTGGATTCCATTGAAGTTAAAACGATTGGATCCGATTTTACCCAATCTCTAACATTTGGCCACATTGTATGAAATGCTCCAGTTTGACCATGAAGGAAGCTACACTATGAAGCTTACCGAAAACTGTCTGTGCTGAGCCAAACAAGACGGCAGTTAATGACAACTGCAGGCTAAAAACATTCCTCTTGCTCTCACTTTAAGTGCTAAATATTTGGAAGAATGTCCAACATGGACTGAATAGCTTTCATCCTGTTCCTCCGGTGCCATATCCAAACTATGACCACAGATACAATTCTCAAACATCGCAGAAACTCTACTGCATCAATTACAACTCCTCCTTCTGTTCACTGATTGGCCAGGATATGTCCAGAGGAATCTGGACATATCTAGGAAGAAGAGAATTCATTGAAAGACGAGAATTTATTGAAATAGGAAGACAATGGCCAGGCAGAGCAGATGTTTTGGAAAGTGTAGCAGTATTTAACTGAATACATTCCTATGCCACAGGGCAGAATTGCAGTGATTAGATCTTGGGGATCATCTGACAAACTGCTGGCAGCTTCTAGTCCCAAAAACAACCATTCTCTCTTTCAAATGTCTCTAAAATATTCCATTTCTGTCAAGGCCAGCTCCTGAATTCTTCGCCACCTGTAATATCTTCAGCTGCCGTCAGCAACGGGCCACTTGCCGAAAGGTTGGCTTTAAATAGTTGAGTTTAAACATTACACCATTCTTCTTAGTTCACCCTGGAGCAGACAACTGGCTGACTCAGTCAGTTTTTGCTGTTCTTTGATCCACTCGAACAGTTCCATTTTCCTCCATGTCTTTTTGTTCTGGTTTCCATTTTGAAGCATTTAGAACGTTTTTAGCTGAGCTGCATCATTTTCACACTTCTTTAAGCCCCTTTCTCCTCTCCAATTAACTTTTTATTCAAGGTAAGCTGTTCTTGGGAATAATGTCTGGTGTCACTTCACTCATAGGGAAGTAGACTATAACTAGAGTGTGCAACTATAACTAGAGTGTGCAACATTTACTGACTTCTTTAAATAAGGACCACCTGTCAGAATGAATAACCTCCCTTTGCTTTGATTCTGTGTCATACCTGTAAAGCTTTGTTACTGGAACGGCTGCAGTATTGTGAGCGCACATGGAAACGGGGTGTCTGCACCACATTAGGCGTTCTTTCTTTTCCCTACAAAGTGCCAAACACACAAAATCAGTAGTGGCTGCGCTCATCTGTATGAATGGATGAAGCCGTACTCTCTGTGAGCGCAGTGCAACTGTTTCACCTCCACCTCGACAGAGTAACTGCTGCAGAGTGAGCCCTTCACAGGGAGACGTAGCAGAGAGGAACGCTCTGTAGGAGTCGTGCTCCTGAATTTGTTCTCACATGGAGATGCAGAAGTGAACAGATGAAGGCCTCTCGACAGTTAAAAGGAGACGTTTCAAGCAACTTAACGTTGTGATGTTTTTATCCAAGCAGAAAACCTCTATTGTCTCGTTCATCTGTTCAAGCTCTGTGAACAGCTGAACAGCAGCACCGTGTGTAGGGAGGGATCTGTGTCAGATTACCTGCTAGAGCATCCCCATGGCGGCGGGTGTCAACCAGCAGGAGATAACAAAACAGAAATATGATTTTTTTCTTCCAAACAAAATGGGTTTTTAGTTTATTAATGGCTTGCTCTTTTAACCTATTAATTTTTTTTCCCCTTCTCCAGGGGAAAAATCTAAATAAGGGCGGATGGTGCCGTTTACAAATCCGTGCAACATCTTTCAGATTTATTTATATATATAGTATATATGTATATATGTATTTTTCTTTTTTCTAGCTATACTTATTCATTTTTGTTTTTAAGAACAAAACGCAGAACCAAACAAAAAGTCAAAAACAGTTTAAAGGAGAAACCACATAAAGTTTCCTGGCTTTCCTGGGTCAGACTTTAGAAATGGTTAACAATGCAGGAGCCCTGAGACCCCCAACAGTTAAGGGCCCCACAGATTTTTAGTTTCTGTTATTTGTGTGTTGTTTTTTTGTTTGTTTGTTTGTTGTTGTTTTAAGAAATGTGTGTTTCGCAAACATTGTACTTTATTTAAAACTCCAAATCCGTGACAACTGTATAAATATTCTAGGATTTTATGAAAATGAACAAAACTCAAGTATTTGAAAAATATGAAGTTATGGTACTTTTTGTGGACAACACAGAGCTACCAACCAGGTAGCATAGTAGACCTGCATCATATCAGACCTGCTGATGGAAAGGAGTACATATTTATGTACTTTGATTTGCATTGGTAAAATCTTTTTACCAATAGAAACTGGCTCCACCCCGGTGGCCCACCCTGTACATTTGACTATGAGATTTATACATTTTCAACATTTTATAGTCCAAGTCTATGAGTTAATAAATGCACAACACAAGATGGTGGTCATGTTCTGTTCAGTGTAGTCCTAAAAGCGTTTCCATCCAAGGATATCAGTGGACAAAGCATGACAAAAAGTCAAGTGGGTTGTTTTCCAAAATAAGCTTCCTCTATCTAGAACCAGGAGACACTTGTTGGGAATCCATTGCAGTAAAATACCCTACAAAAGGTTGTTGGAATATTATACATCAAATTCATATAAATAGATTTTTATATGTTAAAGCCACGGTGAGGTATCTTAAGGTTGTCTTATTTCCTTCTTGTTATTACTCAGATAAGAACGCGGTATCGCCTGCCCTGCTGTCCTCAGCCTCCGCTCTCAGGGACCACGCAGCGTTCTTCCAGTCCGAAGCCATGCGCCCAGCAAATGACCCCAAAGAGCGTGACCCCTCCCACGTACGCATGCTGAACGATGTGCTCCGTGATCTGGAAAAAAGCTTCATCATGCCACAGACACCAGCCGGAGTGTTCAGGTACACACTGGACAGAGGAAGCTCCTGTCAAACTCTGTTTACTGCTGAGCAGTTTTCTGCCAACCCTGAGACGCTGTCTGCGTTTACATTTTGGAAAATGGCTTAAATATTAAACACTCACGATATCAGTATATAAAAAAATTGAGATCCGCTATTTGCTTTCAGTAAAATTTATCTTGCTTCGTGGATCTTTATGTGCAGAATCGAACATGTTCTGCTTTAGTTAATAATTCACAATGGTTCATAAGATTCCTACAGGGTGAAAATAATTAGTTGTAAATTACTTTAAATTTGTTCTTGGCAAACTAGCAAGGAACTTTTTCTTTATGTATTTTTTTTTTTTAGTCTTCAGCTCATTAACTTTGGATTTCTGTTATTGAAGAGTCACTCAAACACAGCAGCGCATCAGTGGGAGTTTAAACATGTTTTGCTCGTTGTTTTTCTTCCTGTCAGCCTTTGAGAAAAACGGATGCACTGATGAACACTTTCAACTCCACAGAGAACAGAAAGAATATTAAGGGAGATGCCTATAAAATGAATTTGTTAAATCTATTAATTTTATGTCTGCTGGCTGTTTGAGATGCGCTGCCCTGTCTGTAGGTCGTCTGCGGGGGACATGATTAATATATTTATTATTTTGGGGGTCTGCTGGACTGTGGCGTTCCTGTTCAAAAGAAATAGTTTTTCAGTGCAATATAGTTTCTCAGCTGTCAATTCAGAAAAGTCAAATATTAAGCAAAATTTAAGTTACATTTCATCAGAATTACAAATTAATAATTCAAATCAGGATAGCACTAAATATTCTTGCATAAAAGTGTTTCAAGCAAGTTGATATTTAGCAAAATACAAATTTAGCTAAATAATAGTATTTAGCCAAATTCATTTGAGGATTTTGTTAAATATCAACCCTAAACATCAAATGATGTTAATTTATGGCAACACTGGAGTTCCCTATTGCATTGTGTCATTTAAATCTTTAATCAATTCACAATGTTCTGGGCTTCTACTTCTGAAAGTAGATAAATGGAAGGTCTGCTTTGAAATATCCTAATATTTTACTGTACTGACAAACTTTGACAACATTCCATAGTTTGCCAGTATTTTGTGTATTTATGCATAAAGCTTTTGATTCTCAAAGACCAGACCTGTTTTTTAATGGAAATGACACACACACACACGCACCCGCACCCCCACTCCCTCCACACACACACACACACACACACACACCACTCACACACACACAACAGTTTTCTGAAAGGGGTTTTTGATTACACTGCAATATAGGAGAATCGCAGAAATTGGCATGACTGCAAGTTAGTACAATATATTTCTAAGAACTACATGGAAAATATTATCGAACAGATTTTTAACTTTAGTTGATTATTTTTCCATCTGAAAAAGGATGCATCATTGCAACGCTTAACGATTCTTTTGCAATCTGCAGCGTCAGTTCCAGAATTAGAACTACCACTCTAAAGTTATTCCTTCATGCAGAAGTTGGTTTAAAGTTTTCAGGACTTGTGATCACATGGACCTCTCTGCTAAATGTAAACATTTGAAGTGAAACAGTTATTTCTCCATTTCAATGATCTGCTGTGATTACAGGCGAAGAGAGGCCTACTGCACATTGATACAGAGTCGTACAACTTGCTCCCATCTACTAGACATGATGGGCATCGTTTTAGTTTTAGTGTAACCTGCTTTGTAAATCTGCTGCAGATATGAAGGAAAAGCAGGAATGAACAATGGACATTATAGTGGTTTGTGAATGAATCTCAGAGATTCGGGGGCTTGTTGCACTTTTTGAATCACATACATAGTAAAAAAATAAATAAATAAATGATGATACACCTGCACTACAAGGACTATGGTGGACAGGTACTGTGCTTGGTGGGATGGTCAACAGATGGGGAATATTAATCCAGCATAAGGTGATTAAAATCGGAAAATAGTTAAGGTAAAGGTTCAACGCCACGGTTTCCTCATCAATAGTTTTCAGTTTCCAACAAATAAGAGGCAATATTTTCTGACTAGAATATTATTAGGGCAGACAGTTCTGAAAATTAAATTTTTTACAAAGTAAAATCAAGCAGATCTACATGATATGCTCTTTCATTTAATTCAGTTTAGCCCAATTGTTCACTTAAAGTCTGAATTAATGACAATTAAAAAGCCATTGCATGACACATATATCATTCCAAATTATGTTCCAGTGAAGGTCAAGCACTCTTGAGTTTAGAATGTATAAGGGAAATGCCAGATTTGTAAATTTGACAAAAGGTCATCAGCTGAAGTAATTAGGTGATTGGTCAGTGTGTTCCACTCAAGGCCAGATGGTTTATTGAGTGAATAAATTGGTTTTAAATAACAAAACTAATTTTGTCTGTGCTCCTACAGGGCACATTAAGTAAACAGAGATCTGAATGAATTCTTCCTTGACACATCCTCATCTCACTGTTCTCTTTTGAGAGTCATTTATTAAATGCCAAAATAAAGAGAGTGAAACGGTCACATGGTGTGTCATATATCCCCTGGAGTTATTTAAATTCATGACTTCATTTCAAAAGGTCTTCCAGTCGTCTGCCATCAAAGAGATAATTAAAGGGCCTTTATTAAATGTCAGCTGTTTAGCATGCAAAACTCTTTATTGTCAGAATATGGTGATAAAGCAATATTGTGGACTCTGATTGGTAGGATGTTACAGCAGCTGAATGGGGGGAGGCGAATGCAGCTTTTCACAACCTTCTTTCAGGGTACACCTGCTTGGGTTCAATCAGCTGTCTGCTGCCCAGCAACAGTTTGTCCAGCAACATTCAGAGCAACAGGATGTTAGTCTGCGAGAAACAACGAGAAAAAAGGGCTAACAAGTAGCCTCAGATGTACGTGAGCAGTGATCATTACGCTTGTGGTATTTAAGATGATGATTTATATGAGCTCATATAAATCACAGTTGAGACTGGTGCTCAACCAGCGAGCAACCGGTTCCACTTTACTTTCATCAGACCACAGAACACGTCTCAGGAATGTTCTGTGTGCATTGGAAAATTTTAATTGGACTTTTTATGTTTCTTTTTGGAGTAATTGTTTCCTCCTCACTGAGTTGCCTTCCAGCTCATGTCAGTACAGGACACATAACCCTGTGAATAACGACTCTGTCTCCCCAGCTTCAGCAAATTCTTCACAAGGTCTTTGGCTTTTTTTCTGGCATCTATCTACCTCACACATTCTGGACCAGAACCGGTCTCCTTCCTCAGGAGTGGGATGGTTGTGAATTTCCATCACGTCTACATTTGTGTATAATTGTTTGAAAAGATGAATGCAGCTCCTTCAAACATCTTCAGATGATGAACCAAACTGGTGCTGAAGGAAAAACAAAAAATTCTGACTGAAATTTAGCCAAAATTTTGTTTTCAGCTAAATATGCTAGTTGACATCATACAGAATCCATAGAGAGTTTAAAATGGTAAACTTTGTGTTTGAATTAATCTGGATGAGAAATTAAATTTAATTCATCAGAGCATTTGACCTTGAGGGTGGGGAAACTCACAGCTGATTAACATACTGTTTTGTTCACAATGTGTTCTTGATGACTGACGTCTAGCATGTGTAACATAGTCCACATTGATTGTTTTAAAACTGATAATTGTGTTTTCCACCATCATAATTTTAACATAATAATAGTACTTGCCTGATTTAGCAGTATTTTAATGCAGGGTGAACAGATGAGGCTCCAGGCTTCTAGCCTGGTCTGGAGCAGGCCAGCAGCACAAAATAAATCACCATTTATTGTGATTTAACAACAGCCATATTGTTGTCCTCACAACAATAGGGCTATGACGAGCAGCCATATTATTGGATCAAAGTTGCTATGAATGTATCTGGGGGGGTTTTTTAAGCATAGCCTCATCTTTCAACGGGTCTCTCTGTGTATTGTCAAAATAAAATCTAAATTGTGACATTGAATCCATCTCAGGCTGCAGCAGGATTCTTTCTACTTATGAAATTCAGGATATTAAAGATAAGAGCTAAACAAATACAGCTTTGCATAGTAACTCTTTGTTGGAACTCTAGTCCTGATTCTGAAACGTCTGCAGTCTCCCCTCTCGCCCGCATGTAATTAAGAGGAAACGTATGTGAGCCACACAGGATTCAACTGAAGAAACTCGAAATTACAGTCTAGCTTTGCTGCACCATCATGAGAAAGAAAACCTTCTCCCTCTCCCTGGCAATTTTATGTCTGTCTCAGTAAAATGATGGGGGGAGTAGTTGTGATTTAACCCCCCCTCTGATTGTTCTTCAACTAGTTCTACATCTGGAGCAGAACAGGAACAATAAAACACAAACTGGAGCTTCACAGAATCACATGGATTTTTAGAAGTTCTGATAAAATAAAGAAAACGAGTAATGTTTAATGCTGAGAAATATTAGATTGTTATTTTTTTACTGCATTTCTTGGCAGGAGCTCCTCAGGGCAGAGCAGCTGTTATTAATTCATTGGCTCTGCTCCAGATCAGCTGATTAATTTGCTGAGGTCAAACTACACAGTTAAAAAATAAACACTATAAATGAAATGAAATTACATTGAGAGTCCAGCTGACCTTGACTGTCGACGGGGACCTCCTTGTCTGATGTTGTAGTCGTGGGGGTCTTTGTGACCGTAAACCCCTGCTGTGTTTGATTTGAGCATTCACACTGGCTCTCCTCCTCCTGCGGCTCTTAAAGCGATCTGCTTTTCTGCTGGATGCTTTGACAATAAATGGTGTCTGCTTTTCATTGTTATTCACAGTTTATGGCAGTAATAGACATGTTAATTGCCCCCCTACTTCCATTTGCATCCACACTAAAATTAGCTGCTTCATCATGCTTGGAAGCCATTAAGGCTTAATCACATTCATTTATAAAGGACGGTACTATTCCTTCACAGAGTTGGAACAATCGGTGTTGGGATGCTGAACAATCATTAAACTGTTTACTTGGAAAACCTGAGCTGTGTTTGAACC